GATGGCCGCGCCACAGTCCCTTCTCCTCCATTTTCCTCTTGGGATCTTGGGCATGCACGTACACGTGCCTGGCGTGAGTTTTAAGCCACCAGGTCCGGGATGCGAACCACAGTCGACTACATGGCAGTCCAGCGACATAGCCATTACGCTAACTTCTGGTCCCCTGGTTAACCCAGTTTTGAATCCCAGGATTTAAGGTTGTGAACGTCCCAGTAATTGGCTGTTGGAGTGGAAATTCCTCAGGAGGGTTGGATGGCTTAGCAGATATTGGAAAGTGTGAACTCATTTACTAGTGAAAAAACTTTACAGGTTATGTATACATGTAAACATTCATAGTAAAATTTAAAAATTAAAAAAATAACTAATTAAAAATAAATTGGGCTGGCTTAATGGTTTAGTGGTTAAGGGAGCCAGATCCCACATGACTGAATACAGTTTGAATACTGGCTCTGGTGACTTGAAAAACATAGTGGGGGCATATGCATGTGTGTTTAAAATTCCGACAGGATGGAGAAATGGAGGAGGTGCTTTTTCTTTCTCTCTCTCTCTCATTTTCTCTCCAGTAAGTGCACATGTCCTCTGACAATTAAAAAAAAAAATATATATATATATATATACACATATATCACATACACACACACATACATAGTAGCTGTGAACATGGCAGTTGCTTATGGTAGAGGAATAATTTTAGAGTAAAGCATGTGTCTCTACTGGCTTAGTGCCCAGCCTACTTTGAACTAGCCTTCATACTCTGTTAATTTTCTGCTTTTCTGCTGCCAGAGAGAGAGAGAGAGAGAGAGAGAGAGAGGCACCCTTGACAGGATCTTATCATGTCACAATCTCCTTTCCCCAGCCCTCCAGTGCCTCAGGATCTTGGGCATGTGCACAAGGCATGCACAGGTGCCTGGCATGTTTTCAGGCCAACCTGGGGAATTGAACCTGTGATCTGCCATGTGGCTTCCAGCTACTGAACATACAATTCAGTGCACTGCAAACTGCTCTGTCAGTTTAGGCCTTTGACATCTGATGCCAACGCTGCTTTTTGTAAAGACCTAATGAGCCCACAGGACCAAATGGTTTGTAGGCACATAGTGGTGGAGGGGTGGGGGGCCATGTCTTCACTATCTCCAGATTCTTGTTCTCAACATTCTCCCCTTTTCTTTTTCCCTCAGCCTCCAAATTCCCCAAGCTCTCCAGTCATAACTCGCTAAGTCAAGCACCAAATACCCCTGTGCTTGTTTACTGATTCAAATATATGCCCCAAGGCTGGCAGGTGGTGTGGTGGTTAAGGGCTCTGGACTCCCACATGGTCGACCATGGTTCAGGTCCTGGAACCGGCAGCTTACTTTCTCGCTTTTCCTCTCTCTCTCTCTTGTGCTCTCTTCCTATTTGGTCAAACTAAAAATGAATACATAAATAAAGTTAAATAAAATAATTCTTAAAAAATATATTTGCCCAAAACAGTAGAGGGTGTGTGTGAATCATCTCTGCCGAGGTTAAGGTCCACTGGGTCAGCTCCTTCTCAGATATAGTGCTTTTCCAAATAATGTTATTGAGACTTTAAAAAACAGTTTTTAATCATCTGTTCTAATAGAACAAGTAACAGCATGGCTCTATGGTTTTTGACAATAGTTTTATTCTTCCCAATCCTAGAGTGTTAGAGAAGCCTACATTCACTTACATAGTCAATTATAGTTCTCAATTATATACTTGTATTACTCAGCACATGTTCACAACTGAACTTCTATTTCTGTTTTCACATCTGTTCAGTGAGAGAGGGAATGCTGTAAGGTATTCTGCAAATGTTAGATGCTGTAATTCTTAAAACGTTTTTAAATAAAATTGAGAACTGTTCAAAATATGCTAAGTAACTTTTCTGTTGATGCTGAACATACATTAAGCTCTTACTCAAATCCAGTGTTGGGTATCAGTGATGAGATGTCTTTAAATCCATTTTTTTTCTTGTATAAAATTTCCTTCGAAATCAGCAGCATTTCTGAATTCAGACAAGCTTCCAGAAGCATTCTGCAGAATAAGAATCATGTCCAGTATTAATGAGTCATTCTGTCCTTCACCATCTGAATCATATCATGGTTTTGGCTTAATAATAAGTTTTGTTTTTGTACTTGTAGAGATTTTTGCTATAGGGCACGTGCACTCACTGGAAAGACAGAGACCGAGAGAGAGAAGGTGAGATATCATCCCCCTCCCCGCAAGGGTTTGACCACACCACAATTCCTTCTCTTCTGTTCTCCTCTTGGGATTTTGGGCATGCACATACACATGTACCCGGCATGAGTTTCAAGCCACTGGGTCCAGCACTTGAACTGTGTTCAGCCTTGTGGAAGTCTAGCATTTTAAACATTATGCCATCTGTTGGTCCTGAGGCTTTATAAGTTTTTAAAAATGATTTTGTAATCATCTAGATAAAGTTTTTCTCAATGATATTATAGTGGACAGATTAAAATGATTTCTAATAATAAAAACGTACAGCGATCAGGAACAGCAGATGACATGATGGTTACGTTGCTGAACTCCTGCACAGTGGACTGCAGTTTGAGTTCCAGGCCCAGCAGCTTAAAATTCATGCCAGGCATGTGTGTGTGCATGCCCAAATCCCAAGAAGAGAATGAAGAAGGTATTGCAGCATGGCCAACCCCCCTGGAGGGTGATTTCTTTCTTTCTGTCTCTGTCTCTCCAGTGAGCACACTTGCCCTTATAACAAAAATCTCTCTAAAAAGAAAAAGATTATGATCATAAAAGATGAAAACTTCTTAGAAGAGTTTGTGAATCATAACAATATTCAATTTTTATTTCAACACTTTCTAGTATTTTTATTATAAAAATATTAAAGAGGGGACCAGCAGTTAGCGTAATGGCTACGTCGCTGGACTCACATAGACTGTGGTTCGAGTCCTGGACCCGGTGGCTTAAACTCACGCCGGGTGTGTGTGCATGTGTGCCCAAGATCCCGAGAGGAGAATGGAGAAGAAAGGACTGTGGTGTGACCATCCCCCTTGGGGGGGGGCGGTGATTTCTCGCTTTCTGTCTCTTTCTGGTGACCGTATGCACCCTGTAGCAAAAACCTCTCAAAAAAAAAAAAATCCATTCTATTAAGTAATAAATCCTGGGGCTGGCAGGTGGTATGGTGGTTAAGAGCACTGGACTTCCACATGGCTGACGGAGGTTCGAGTCCCAGACCTGGCAGCTTGCTTTCACAGTTTTCCTCTCTCTCTCTCTTTCTCTCTTTTGCTCTGTCTCTCTCTGGTCAAATTAAAATAAATGAATAAATAAATAAACTTAAAATATCCTTTTTTATTTCCACAAGATTCTTTTGAAAAAATTTATACACGGTCTTTCCTATGTTTATTTATTTCCTTTGAGAGAGAGAAACAGAGATGGGAGAAGGACCTCCCAGAATAGGTCTTCACCTTGTGATGCCATCCCCAGCCTTGGCAAGTCGGGATCACACATGTGTGCCCTGTGTGCATAGGGAGACCTTGGGATGAGGAACTAGAACCTTCCCCTAAGGTTTAGCATCATGGGGCATTACAGCTGGACCACAAGATTCTTATAAAATGTCACTTAGTACACCTAGATGACAATCATCATTTATCTAACAACTTCCCCACTTTTAGATATCATGGATAATGCTATGAACACCTACCTATATATGTTTTCTTTTTTTTAAGAATTACTTTTTAATTTAACTTTATTTATTTATTTATTTATTTAATTTTTAACCAGAGAGGGACAGAATGAGAGAAAGAAAGAGAGAAAATGAGAAAGCAAGCTGCCAGGTCTGGGATTCTAACCGCCGTCAGCAATGTAGGAGTCCAGTATCCTTAACCACCATGCCACCTGTCAGCCCTAAACACCTCTTTGTATATGTTTTCTTTATTAGTTTAGATTAAACTTAAATTCTCCTGAGTAAAATTACTTTAACAAAGGGCATCATCATTTTTATGTCTTTTATACTTATTACAGGGACTTTATAAACATTAGCTTGGCAGGCCAGCAGATGATGTGGTGGTTGGGGTGCTGGACTCCCACATCACCAACTGCGGTTCAAGTCCTGGACCTGGTGGCTTGCTTTCTCACTTATCTTCTCTCTCTGCGTCTCTCTCTGGGGAGCACATGTGCCCTATAGCAAACTTAAAGCAACCAAACAAACAAATAATTTAAAAAACATTAACGTGACAAAACGCATTCACTCTTAGTTCGTTATGAAGGAGTTAGTTCACTAGTTCGTCTGTCTCTGACTAGTTTCTAATGCTATCATTCTATAAATGGGAAGTAATGGTGCTAGGGGAGGATCCTATCTGACGACTTTTACCTTTCCAAAGAGAAAATGTGATTTCCTGCACAAGGTGGGTATCTCTTCACCCCGGTTTATGTTACCCACTCTGTTTGAAGTCTCACATCAGTCTAAGGGGAAAGAGCTAAAACTAAACATATGCTTTAGCCTTCTTTAAGACACAAGGACTGGACGTGGACGTGGACACAGAGTCATGACTACTTACTCATCCTTACATCAGTGCCTATCACAGGGTCAGGCTGAAAAGGTACATAATAGGGACCAGCAGGTGGTCTACAGGTTAGGATGCTGGCTTCCCATGTAGATGACCGCAGTTTGAGTCCCAGACCAAGTGGCTTAAAAATCATGCATGCCCAAGGTCCTGACAGGAAAATGGAGAAGGGATTGCAGCGTGGCTGTCCCCCCAGGGGGGTGATTTTTCACTTTCCCCCTCATTGTCTCTGTCTCTCCCTCTGGCAAGCCCATGTACCCTAAGGCAAAAATCTCTTAAAAAAAGAAAAGAAAAAGCATATAATATATGTTTATTGAATGAACAGAAGGGTGGGTGTGTTCACACATGAAGTGACTAACTGAATATACCTAACTTCATGGGGCAGATGACAGCATAGAAAGCTTTGTGTTCCCATAAACTCACTTGTTTGATGGGAACACGTAAAAATCATTATGCTGTGCTTGGTGCTTACGTTTATCAGTATATTTAATGCATTTGATTGTTGCTTTTGCTATCAGACTCGATTAGAAGTATCTAGTGAGTGTGGTTGTAGAGACCAAAATATCAAAGGTCTGGAGACAAACACATGGTTCTTTCTCTCAGGATGAAAAGATATTCCCTAAGTGGCAATGTTGGTTTTCATTACAGGACACAAATTTGTTTAAAAAACTGATCAACCAATTTTTAATAACTAAAGAATACATGTACATGGCACGGAAATCAGAAAGTATAAAAGAATATATAGGGACCAGCAGTTAGTGTAATGGCTATGTCGCTGAACTCCCATGTAGCCGACTGCGGTTTGAGTCCCGGACCCGGTGACTTAAACTCATGCCAGGCGCATGTGCATTCGTGCCCAAGATCCCAAGAGGAGACTGGAGGAGAAGGGATTGCAGTGTGGCCATCCCCCCGGGGGGTGATTTCTTGCTTTCTGTCTCTCTGTCTCTCTCTGTCTTTCTGGCGAGTGCACACGCCCTATAGCAAAAAACTCTCCCCCAAAAAAAACAAAAACAAAAAAACACACATATGCACGCGCCCTATAGCAAAAAACTCTCCCCCAAAAAAACAGAAACAAAAAAACACACATACACACACACACACAACAAAAACAAAAACAAAAACAAAAACCCCAAGACTATATAGAAACCAAGCTGTGGTTTCTAGCAATCCAGTTCCCCTTACCATAGATACATTAGGAATAGGCTAAAAAGTGCCATAATCCAGAGATCTTATCCTCCACATTGGACAGCAAAAGGTTTAGGCTGAACCCAACAGCTTACTTTGAGTTACCTAAGAAAGGAAGCATAGGGAAATAACTTTTTCCTGTTTTGAAATAAAATTGGTTTGTTAATTTTTCCAGTTTCAAGGTTGAGGACAAGAAAAGTGCTACAATGGTTTGGGAAAGCAAATAGCAGCAAGGAAAACACCGAATTCTGTTTAAAATCTCCTCTATTGATTCAAATGTCCCCTAACATATTCAGAATTAAAAGACATTGCCAACCCTTCGGAAAGCTAATGACAGCAACAGTCAATACATTGAGGTCTAGAAAGCCTAGTTTATGCATTTTTTTCCCAGCACCTATCTTCCTTTTTATAGTAGTTTCAGCATCAAAGATCAGGAAAGGATAAGTGAATTAATAACTTGCTTACTAAGGATACAACTTGCTTTTTTTTGGATGGGGTAAGATGAGTTGTTCCAAATATTTTTTTATTTTGCTAAAATTTAAAAATACAGAAAAGAAGACTTAGGAACTTAAAATTTTGAATTATTTTTCTTTAGGAGAAAGAAATTAATAAAATACACTGAAATAATTGGGAGTGATCGGTAGCACTTAATATCTTTTTGTCAAGTGTGAGCAATTACTTGTTAATTATATCTATATTTTCATATGCAAGATAAATTTAATTTTACAAATTCTATTCATTTCTATGAACAGAAATGCAATTATCTCACTTTTTTAATCATTAAATCGTCATTTTAAAAAATTTGAAATATCTAAAGCACTGTCAATTCACATGAATCAGAGAGAAAGTGAAAATAATTTAAATATAGCTTTGGGTACTCAGGTAAGCAGTTATAAAGGATAACAAGAATCTGCATTTTACCTGCCATTATCTGGTACATTAGAAAGGATGTCTAAGGTCAATTGATTTTATTTTTGCAGATCTATCATTAAAAAAAAAAAAAAAAGACCAAACACTGTGGCAGCTGGAGCCCCAAAGCAGATGCGCCTGACAGCTCCTGAAAGAGTCTATACCACTGTGGTTACACTCTACTACACCCTGAACTAATAGTGCTTGAGGCACTTCCGGTAGGGTGCATCCTCCTGGAACTGTGGTTTTTTTGTTTTGTTTTGTTTTGTTTTCACCAAAACTAACAAAACTGGGTCAAATTAAAGGGGCTAGTTTCAGCAACAGTGCCACAGTGCTTTCTTGGTGATCTCTGTTAAACAAGGAAAATGGTATAATCAGCGATAATACACTCTGGATTTAACATTTCATAGAAACTAATAGATTTGTCTCTCGATAGCTGGGTTTCACGTTAAATACATGGTCTTAATTATAACATATCTCTTTGGCTCCAATCTTTCGAAAATGTGCCTTGTGGTAATATGTGCATGAATGTTTTATTTAACTTTTGCAGAATTTAAGGCAGGAAACCCAAGTTTGTATAATCAATGAAATATTAGGAATGTCAAAACTGAGTTTGGATACAAAAAACTTGTAACTGGCATCTCCAGTTGTTCAAATAATCAAGTCATCAGAAAAAAATGGTGATACTTTTTCTATAGAAATTAAAGATGAACACTAAAACAGTGCATTATATTTGTAATTTCCTATGGAAATAAATTGGATTTCTTTATGCAAATAAAAATTGTGAAAGCTATCATCTATTCACCTCAACCCAGAATTATAGCTGCATAACTTTGGTAGAAATTAGAAATAGTATCAAGATAAATGACTCTAAATTATATAGTCTATAGTAGTAAATGACACAATAATGACATCATCATTCTCCTGATGAAGAGTACTGGATCTGGAATCAGATTACTTGGGTTCCAGTCCTGGCTCTATGGTTTACTAACTGTGGCTTTAGGACAGGTTTCTTTTTTCTTTTCAGGGTTTGGCCATTGGGTGAGTAAGCTTGCCAGAGACAAACAGAGCGAGAGAAAGTGAGAAATCACCTCCCAGGGGAGATGGCCATGCTCCAATTCCTTCTTCTCCATTCTCCTCCTGGGATTTTGGGCATGCCACATGTTGCCCTGTGTGTGCTTTTCAAGTCACCAAGTATGAGACTCGAACTGCTGTCATTCATGAACCATGTGGGAGTTTAGCGCCTTTATCACCACGCCACCACCTGGTGGCCCTAAGACAGGTCTTTTAATCTCTCCTAGTCTGTTTCTTTAACTGTAAAATAGACAGGGTAATAATATCTCTGGTAGAGGGCTGTCAGAATTTGTTTACCTGATCCTTTCAGTGATTAGCATGTTACAAGTGTTTGTTATCATTATTGCTTGTGTATTAGTTACATGTATGTTTCTTGTAGCCTACCTTCTCTTGGTATGTGTCCTATTTCAACTTGATTGAAAGCTTTGAAAGGGCAGAGACTAACTCTTATAGCTTTCTTTCTTTCTTTTTTTTTAAGAATTACTTTAACTTTATTTTCATTTGAGGAAAGGGAGTGAAAAAGCAAGTCACAGGTCCGCAACTGCAACTTGAACCACAGTCGGCCAGATGGGAGTCCAGCACCCTTAACCACCAAACCACCTGCCACCTCTCTACTCCTATAGTTTTCTAGTTCCTTCATCACTTAGCACAATGTCTTTTCAAAATTATCAGACTTTATTATTATTTTTTAGGATTTTGCCATAGAGCTCATGCATTCATTGGAGAGAGACAGAAAGAGGGAAAGTGAGAAATCATCCCCAGCCCTCACAGGGAGGGATGGCTATGCTGCAACCCCTTCTCCATTCTCTTGGGATTTTGAGCACACATACGTGCATGTCCAAGATGCATGCAAGCATTCAAGCTGCTGGTCCCGGAACTCGAACCATGGTCGATCATGTGGGAGTCTAGTGCCTTAACCACCAGGCCACCGACTGGCCCCTAAACAATTTTTTAGAAAAAGAGTAGCCAGTCCAATCAAGCACCCAGAAAGTGACCAAAGGTCTGAGGCATGTAATGCATGAGAGGTCTACGTGGTCATGAAATTTAGGCAGTTTCTTATTTCCTTAGACATTTCAGGCTGTTGGGCCAGTGTGTAATTTATTTCATCTAAGTTAAATCATGTAAATACAATGTATTCCCTCTCCCCTGTCTTAACACTTTTCATAGGACAGTGATGAGCTAGCCAGCGTTTTTCTTATCAAAGGAACTACTGCTCTCTGAAAAACTCACAAGCTCAAACATTGCCCATAGCCAAAGAACTAACATGTTCTTTAAAAATACTGAGTTTTACTTCCTCAGCATATTTTTACTCAACACTTGATTTGAGCTCTCTGAAAAAAAAAAGAGAGCTCAATACTGGTACTTGCCAATTCCTACCTACCGGTGGTGAACACTGAGTATAGCAGCCTTAGGTTCAGCTAGTAAGTATGAGAATTTGATTTTAACTTTTTTTTTTTTTTTTTTGGAGAGGCTTTTTGCTATAGGGC